GCGGGCCTGATGCACGACAGCAGCTGAGGCTGCGTGCAGGCGGGAAGCGGCGCTGCAGAACGGACTCTGCCCCCCTAAAGTCACGTTCTGAGGTTCTCTTAAGCAGAAAAGCTGCAGTACTGAAGTGAAGAGGTTTCTGTGGCCTTATGGGGAGAAAGGGCACCCTGCGGCTCGCTCCTAAAACGCCACGCTGCTCACTGCCCCTGTCGGTCGTCCTAAAGTGCTCTCCGAGGTTCTGCCCTCCGCGAAGGAGGCCGACCCCGCAGACTGGCCAACAGGCGTGCTCGCGCTAATCGACGCCGGAGGCTTTGCCTAGGAAGTCCGCGTTGCCGTCCTCACTGTCTGCTCTTCGGAACCACTGCTCCGAGTGTGCGCCTCGATGGTACGAATCCAGGAAATGGCAGACTCCAGGGATTTCACTGGGAAAGTTGGGCGGGAGGTCCTCCCTGGACCGCGGGGTAAACACAAAGCCAGGGCAGTCTTTGAGTAACCTGAAAAGATTAAAATAAAGAAGATCAGAGTTTTATATTAACAGAAATGATTACTTAGGAAAAGAAGGGGACAGGGCCTGCCAAATAGCTCAGCGGATTGAAGCGCCTGCAAGCAGGTGCAGCGCCTGGGGTTCGATCCCTGGACCTGCTGTGCCGGCCCCGCCCACGGGGCGCGTTTAGACTGCAATTGAGACTGGGCGTGGTGTTGCATGCCTGTAATCCCTGCTAGTGGGAGGAGTCTGATCCTGTACTGAGACCATGAACACCCCGGAGACCCTTCCCTAACAAAAAAAAAAAAAAAAGATGAGAAAGGGACGTAAGGCAGTGAGCGCCGCTCTCCCCGCCCCTTCAGCCGCACTACTGCCGTGCAGTCAGGTCCACAGCGCCAGCGGCGGCCCACTAGCTGGCATTAGAAGTTGCAAAATACTACATACAGAGTTGAAACAACAGTAAAATGCACAATATTTTTAAAATAACAAAAATAAAATGCCCCCGCTGATCTGGCAATAGTCCGGTGATAGCAAATCCCACACGTACTTCTAATGCGATTAAGTAAAGCTTTCTAAATTGAAAGAGGTCAGTGAGTGGCCATTTACCAATTTACAAATTCCGTACGTAATGCAAAGAGGAAGCTATGGGTAAAAATTTATGAAAGAAAAATGGTGTGAAAATGATATTTTGATTTTTCAATGGAAATTTTTATGAGACTTAATTGTACATATTTGGGCTCGACTGACTGTTTTAGTACATATTTGTGGCATTTCTGTTCTAAAACTCGTCTCTATCCACCCTCACTGCTTGTTACTCACTACTTGTCCGTTAAGCTAAACTCGTTTAAATTCAGTCTTACTGATTAAGCTACTGATTCTGTTTCTCATTTGCTTTCCTAGCTTTCTATCAAATTTGAACTTAACAAGGATTCTGTGTAATCTACTATTCAGGCCAGGGATAAAAACATTGAAGAACCCTAAGCTCTAGACCAGCTTCTGAGAAAATTACTTATCAGCTCTGCCCCAGCAGAACTCGCCCGCCATTTACCAGCCAAGGGGTCATGCGTAAGTGACACAGACAGTGAGGAGTGGGGCAGACTTGTGTTTTGGTTCGGTCATGATTTCCTAGGTACTGAAGAAACAAGCTGAACAGAAACACGCCAGGAAACTGTCTCCGAGTGAAATATTCCGTGTGAGTGTTCTCCTCACTAATCTTTACCGAATGTATCAATTGAAGTGTAATCTGCAAATTAAAACAGATGAACATTGTGGCTTTGTTACAAAGGTCAGTATTCTGGAGTGGCTACCGTTTAGGAGGCAAGGGATTTGGTGAACATGCTCTCACTCGCCACGGGTTGACAGCAGACTGTGGCTTTCTTCTGCTCCTCGATTGTATTATGCAGTGTCGACAGCCGACACGCATAGTGATGAGCTACGGCTGAGGCACCCTGGCTTGGAAACCTAGAGTTGAAACAGTTTCTTCAGGGCCTGAAGCCTGCCAGAGCTGGCATAGTTGATACCATGGAAATTGGCTGAAAATGTGAGGTTCTTTCTTTCATTTCTCATTCCTCAAAAACCATTCCCTAGCAGGCCACCCCAAGAGGAATTTTCAGAGTGAATGAGCGAGGCTCATGTGAATTGGATCAATGCTTGATCAACTTAAAATAATCATAAAACATAATAGTGAAAAGATTCAAAGTAAATCATAGAGGGCTGGGGAGATAGCTCAGTGGAATAAATGCTTGTCTGGCAAGCACAAGGTCCTGAGTTTGATCCCTGGTACCATAATAACAAAGGATGACAAAGTAAATCATAGAAAGACGTGAACATATGGAGTGGTAGAAGCCTATTTTTCTCTTGCTTCCTGTTGTGAATAGTACTTTATAGTGTTGATTTCTTGTCTAAATGAAGCACACTAGCTATTTCTTGTCCTTTGGATAAAGCACAAGCACTGCCTGTATGAAAGGGAAGGGACAGTGTTATTCAGATGCAAGTAAGAGGGTGGAAGCTGGCCACCCCAGCACCAACGTCCTGTGAAGAGCACAGGGGGTGACCTGGTGCTAGCTCAGGAAGGTGAGGGCATGGCGGCTGGGGCCAGAGCACCGGGAGGGGGACTCAGTGCCCTCTGGATAGGCGTCCCAGGCATAGGTGGAGAGTGAGGAGGAGCAGAAGGCGTGCTCATGTACAACCTAGGCCTGAGGAACTTTGCCTCAGGTGGTGGTGAACTGGGGCTCTGCGGAGACTTGCAGAATGAGCGAGGGAAGTTTTTTAGTGAGAGCATGAAAGTCAATTTTTACATTTAACTTCATCAACCTGCTTTTCTTGGGACACAACCTTGTTGTGCTGCTGAGGCTACCCTTGAGCTCCTGGGTGGAAGCGGTCCTCCTGCCTCAGCTTCCTGGAGGGCTGGAGCTACAGGTACGTACCAGCTTCCCCAGCAAGACAGCCTTCCGAGAAAGCCACAGAAATGAGGCAGCACTGCCACTGCAATGTTCCGATGTGTGGCGGAGAAGGAGCAGAACCAGTGGACTCTCAGATGGTGTCACTGGGATAAAGCAACAGCCATGAAGGAAAGCAACCGGAAGACCTGAGTGAGAAGCCATTGAAAGGAAAGATGCCCTGCTTAGCCTGTTCCACTGCAACTGACAGCCATAGAAGAGGGGCAGCGGTGACCCCGACCTCAGCCAGGCCCATGGATGACCTAGATAAAGCAGAGCTGTTGGCCCAGTGCAACAGAAGCAAAGCCAGGACACAGCACTGGGGTCGCGACCGTGGTTCTTGTTTCTGCTCGGTTTCTCTGTGACATGCACAGCAAAGTCATCAGTTGGGTGGGCTGGAAAGCTGATGCAGCTTTCAGGAGAAAGAAGGCACTCCAAAGAGTTATCCTGAAGAAGGGAAGTTAATTTATCTACCATGGGAACCTGGAGGATGATTTTATTATTCAAAGGTTTCCATTAATATTGTTTTAAAATTTTATTTATTTATTTATTGGATACAGTTTCTCACTACACAGTTCAGATTGGTAGTGATAGTCTGTTCTCAGTCTCCCCAGCACTGGAATTACAGGCTTGTGCCACCACCCCTGGTTTCAGGGCCAGCATGGTGCGCAGCACCCAGGATTGAACTCTGGTCCTTGCACTGGCCAGGCAGGTGCCTGGACTGCTGAACTATCTCCCCAGCCCACCATTAATATTTTTTAATGTGACAAGATGTATACCGTAAATAGACTTCTACTTGAATGGTTCAAGGTAGACAAGTGATACCATAATCGAGGATTTTAGTGACTTAGGTTGTCCACTGCATGTTGTTAAGAGACAGGCAAAATGGTATCAAAGGAGTCAGAGTGCCTGTCTTAGTAGGTGGAGATCTGGCACTAGCCTGTAAGACTGTGAAACACAAGGAACAATATTGAACGATCTGCTTATCTTCTACTTCCCCAATGCAGAGGCATAATAAGGAGTTTGATTGGTTCTGTTCTTAATTACAGGAAGGAATTTTCTTAAACTCTGAAGAGCTCCTGGGTTATAAAAGTATCCTGGCTTTTCATGAGTTCTTTGGGTCACCTCTGAATTTATGGGTTGATGAAGAATGGATCCCAGAAAAATCAATCATGGTATTGAATGCTGAGGCTTCAGGTTAGCCTGACCCCAGTGGAGGACAGAGGTGTTGACAAAACAAGGCCAATGAGTCAATTAGTCACATCTGCATCACCAAACTAGAGTCCGGACACCAAAGCTCGGGTTCAGTAGCACTGTCTTCTGAACAGTGACCCCATGGTGTGGTCAGATGGTGATGCGTTGTGGGTCCATGAGGGAGGGGACGACGAAGCTTTGTACCTGGAGCCCTCCTGGTCCTCGCCTTGTCATCCCTTAGGCAGCGATCCTCACGTGCACCTTCATAGCAAGGCACGTGTGACACCGGCCTGACTATTGCAGGTCACACTAGCACAACTGTTTGCCTTGGGAGGTCTTGGAAGCCATGGAATCCGTAGCTGTTTGGTCCACAGCGCTGGCAGCCTAAGGATCGCGATGTGTGTCAAGCCCTACCGGAAGGAAGACTTCCCGGCTACTGTGCCCTGTAACTCATGATTGTAGGTATGCTAACTCTGGGTAGCTTGTGCTAGAATTTTAGTGCTGTACAACAGCTGATATCAGGGCACCTAGTAACACCCTAAGGTCATTAATAAATGATTTCTAAAGAAAAAGTAGGGGAAAAGATGTGGCATCTGTTAAGAATCACCATTGGGCTACATATATGTCATAAGATTCATAAGGATCTTAAAAAGGTAAAGTGAGAGTTATAAAATTACTGCCTTTTTTTCTCCCCTTTGAGATCCCCTAAGACGAGGCCTATGGAGAATGAATGAGATCAACGAGAAAAATGGCAAGCATGCGACAATAAAAACAACAGATCTCAGGGGTTCAGTGCTGTCAGTACCTGTAGGTCGTTGGACTGACATTGATTTTCCGCGGCACACTGCAGGACTCGAATTTGTTAGCCAGAGTGACATTGTTTCCAAAAAGACAGTAGCGGGGCATTTTCACTCCGACGACTCCAGCAAACACCGATCCAGAATGCAGCCCAATCCTCATCTGAAAGCAAAGTTAACAATGTTTACGGCCACGGGCAGACACCTCCCACTTGGCAGTGCTGCCTGAATGCACTGTCCTGATTGTGTCGGCATAAACACGGGTGGACACGTGTGTCTCTGAAGCGTGATATCCGACTCTTCGTGAAGACGCTGAGACACGGCATCGCTGAGTCAGCACGCGTAACGTGGCCCCCACGTCCCTCAGCGGACGGAGGAGCAGTAAGATGCGGGGCTTACTCCCCACGGAGTACCTCTGCGTGAGTCACTTGTAGGGAAATGAAAGCTCTTGAGAGCGGGAAGTTCAGAGAAACAAATCAGACGCACAGTCTAAATGCCACATGGCTTCTCTACATGAGACGCCTAGAGCAAAAATACAAAGTGAAAGGAAAGACAGCAGGAAGCGGGAGCGAGAGGATCCGGGGTGAAGGCGCTCAAGAGAGGGGAACTGGTGGGGGAAGGCCAGGTGGAGAAGGAGACGGGGGGACGCATCCTGCACGTGTGCCGCTGTGCACGAAGCACGCACTCCAAAAGTACTGAGCAAAGGAGGCTCAGCACACAGGTAGAGTGCGGAGGAGGGCGCGCAGGGGATGAAGGGAAACCGAGTCATGGTGTGCGCGCGTGCCCGCGCTCTGCGGCGTTATGTCCTGCACCCTGGGACTAATAAAGCAGTAACGAATTACCTTACCGGTAACCCCCACGGGGCTAGCCTTCTTCGGCATCTCCAGTCCCCCTCCCTGAGCCCCTCACCGTGGAACTGTAAATTACTAGTGCAGGATCAGGAGCCCTCCCTGTGCACACTGAGGGCTGTTCTAAAAGTCATTTTCATTGCACCCCTCTTTAATATCTGAAGTGAGTTTCCATGGTCCACACACATCTTTTGGAGTCAGCGCAGCAGCTCTACAGGAACTGGGGGCTGTTGCTGTAGGCCAGTTTCTTGCCACAAGTAGGACAGGCTTGCTTTCTGAACACCAGGAGTTGTTTCCAAAACAGTGATAGAGAAGGACAAAAGAAGCTCGTTCCCAGGAACTACACTGGGGTTCTGAATGGCTGGGCATGATCATTGTGCCTGCAGTGCCTGCCACTAGTGGGGCGACACACAGGGGTCAAGGAACAAGGGAAGCACGATGCCGTTCCATTGCAAAGAAAGACAAGATTTTGGGGGGGCGGGGCAGTACTGGGGATTGAACTCAGGACCTTGCACTTGCCAGGCGAGTGCTTATTCTACTGAGCTATCACCCCAGCTCCAAGAAAACAAGACTTAAAAGATGCTTTGCTTTAAAATAGCCTTATGAAAAACACTTCCCATTATTCGGATAACTAAAAGCTGAGGTAACTAATATCTAAGCAGACAAAGACAAAGAAGACAACCTGGAATCACATTGCTCTGTGAGTCAGCTTTCCGTTGCTGTGACCAACGCCTGGTGACAAAACTCAGAGGAGGAGCTTGTCTTTGGCTCCCAGTTTCAGAGGCTGCAGTCCACGGTCTGTGAGCGCCAAAGAAGAAACATCATGGTAAAAGGCCATGGTGGGGACAGTGCTGGTCACCCAGGACAGTGAGGCAGACAGAGAAATGGGCGTTCGCCAGGAAAGTGAGGAGCTCACGGGTGCACGTCCTTCCCAAGGCGCGCCTCAGGGCCACCACGCCGACAAGGCTGCCAGCCCTGCTACTGCCCGTCAACCTACGGACTCCTCTCTGGGTCAAGCTATGGGTGACCCTCACACTTCAGTCCCCTCAGGAGGCCAGCTCTAATCACTGCTCCACTGCAAATGCAGACCTCAATATACAGGAACATATAAGCCATGGGGGTCACTTCATGTCTAAATAACATTTGTTATGGCCCAAATAGCTCAGCAGATTAAAGTGCCCGAAAGCAGGCACAGGAGCTAGGGGTTCAATCCCTGGGCCTGCCGTGCCGGCCCCGCTCCCGGGGGCACACTGAGACAGTGATTGAGACTGGGGATGGTGTCACACGCCTATAATCCCAGCTCTTGGGAGGCTGTAAACAGGAGAATCACCACGAGTCCGATCTAGTACTAAGACCCTGAACACCCTGTAGACCCTTCCCTAAAATATAAATAAATAAATAAATAACACATTGTTGGATGATTCTTAAAATCAGAGTTTATGAAGCAAAACTCAAGATTCTGCTAAATATATGTCTTCTTCAAAAGAATATGGTTTTATAGATCTAACAATTGTTGTAATAAAACAACTGAAAGCTTGGGCCAGGGAGATAGCACAGTGGCATGCACACCTGCCTGGTGTGTGTAAGGTCCAGAGTTCTATCCCTGGTACCGCAAAAATAAATATAACAATCATCATCATCATCACCGTCACCATCATCATCATCATGATAAGCCATCTTGTGCCTCTCAGTGTAAGGCATGGCTTCAGCCCCCACGAGGGGAGGATTCTGCTCTCTTGGGCCTTCTGCAAGCCAGTTCTCTCTGCATATTTAGCTATTCTAGCTTAAACATGCGAAGTGCACCACAGCGTTTTTATTTTTTCATTTGATCAATATTAAGCAAATGCATTTTCCTCACAAAGCCAATGTCTTTCTGGTTCCTTCCAATGCCACGTTCCCTGACAGCCCTTCCTTCATAACCAACTTTGCCTCAGCCCCAGCTTTCATGGAAAAGTTTTCACACGCTTAAGCAAGAAATCACTGACGACATACAGCACACACAAGGCCCCCAGTGTGTCTCTTTTCGTTGGAAAAAGACCTGCATGTGGACTGATGAAAGACCTAGAGTTCTGACACCCAATGCAGGCGTGAAGGCAGCCTCCTGGACTCTCCCACTTGGGGACCGATGTTGGCACAGCTCACATCTCATGCCAGGCTTGGCGCAGAAAGGGAGGGCAGTACGGGTTGATTTTCTGTTCCTGCCTCTCTCTCGCTCTCATTGTGCCAGGTGGCTGCATCGCTTCCTTCAGCTCACTTGTGCTTTTCAACCCCAAGCAGGTGGACACGTCAACCCCAAGCAGGTGGACACGTCAACCCCAAGCAGGTGGACACGTCAACCCCAAGCAGGTGGACACTTGCGGGGGCAGCAGTGAGAAGAAGGGGGCTGTGAGCGATCTGCGCGTGAAGTCACCAAAGGAAAGCACAGATTTGGAAAAGAAAAAATAAAGTTTCTATTCTTTCTATTCCATGAGACAGCAGGATAAAAAGTAGAGGAAGCCAGGACTTCAAAGCCAGATTCAGTAAGATTCCAGATCCTGACCCAGAAAGATCCTGACTACTCTTGTCAGGAATCAGTTTCTTCTCTTTATCGTGCTGTTGGCAGATTAAATGAGACGTGTTCAGGTGGCGTCTTGGTCCTCTCTGTTACCCGGCTATACTTCGACCCGCTTGCTTCTGAGATGTTTCACACCTATCTCCTAAACCCTCTGCTGATCCCTGGGGTAAGCCTGGGACATGGAAGACATGTTTAATGTCTCACTTGCCTGGTCCGTAAAACAAACCTAAAATTAGCCAGGTAACGCTTGTAAAGCTATTTGTATTTCTTCCAAGTGAAAAAAACGAAAACTTCCATTTAGATAACTAAGAAAAGTTATGCCATTAATCCTGCTTCCCCACTAAACATACACATCTTAAGTAAACAATTCACTTACAAAGGAGTACAAGGCCTGGGGAGACAGCTCAGCAGTCTAAGCGCCTGCCTGGCAAGCGCAAGGGCCCAGGTTCAATGCCCGGTACCACATGCCGTGCTGGCCCCAGCACTCTGGGTACACAGTGCTCGCCACCAAAACCAGATGTGGTGGTGCAGACCTGTAATCCCAGCACTGGGGAGGCTGAGACAGGAGGATCACTATGAGTCCGAGCTGCGTAGTAAGACCCTGTATCAAATAAATAAATAAATTTTAAAAATTCATTAAAAACAAGGAATACATGCTTATTTCTTTTGAAAATGCAATTCATACTGTGTCTGGAAAAGTTCACACTACCTGCTACCTATGACACCACTGCTGTAACAGAACAAAGTGGGGACGTCCCTGTCATCTTCCAACACCTGAAATTAAGGAACAAAAGGTTCCCCTAGCTAACAGTCTGTGGAGGCTTCAGTCCATAATCAGCTGGCTCGAGTTAGGGTGACACAGTTGACAGACAGCACGCGTGGCAGCGAAGAGAGCAAAGCAGCAAAAGCAAGAGAAGAGCTGGCCCCTGCGCCTCCCTTAGGTGGTCGGCAGCGCCGCACCGCCTCTGCACCCTCCTCTCACGAGCCTGAAGAGGTCTACAAGGTGAGGACCCCGGCCCCTGCCGAGGGGCTTAGTCAACCTTCTGAGCTTCTCAAGCTGACACAGTGAATGGGCAGCCAGGACAGCGAACAGAGCCCTGGGAGCCCGCTCCGGGAGTGGAGCTGCCGGGGCGCCTGGCTGAGCACCTCAGCTTCCCAAGCTGGTGTAGTGTGTCACCCAGCACACGCGAGGTCCTGCAATTTCCATCAGTCTTGTTTGCTGGGGCACGAGTGTGACTCTACACAGAACGGTGCCGCTGAGGCCACGCTGTCCACCACCCTCACGAGCTGCCGACTGGACTCCGAGTGGTGCAACGGCAGCAGTTCAGGCGCCTTCAGCTTCTAGCGAGCCCCAAGGAAGGTTCGAGACTTGGTGCAGTCGAGACAGCGCGTGGCAGCGGGTTTGGAAAACAGCTGCAAAGCTCAGACAGATAGTGTCCACTGAGGTGAAAGAAAGTCAAGGCTAGACCTCTATGGTAATAGTTGCTTTAAATAATTTTATTTCTTCTTTTTATATTTCATAAGATGCCAGCTTAGATTCTACGTTACATTAAGGACCCGAGTCTGACAGTCATTCACTGAAGATGGTTCTGTTGAGCGGAAGATTTGCTGTAAGTGGGACAAGCAACTGTGTCTCAGTCATCGTCTAGTATAATAACTTGCCTGTTACTTTATCTATAGTAAGATACTAGTCCAAATTCTGACTCATCTAAAATTTTCAAAATGTTGCAAACCTTGGAAAATACTGATGGACTCGAATTCAACATCTTATTCTCTCATAATGCCCTCTGGAAGACTGAAAAATAGAAACCTGCAGCGTCTAGATGCATTTAGCCCATCAGATGCCCCTGCATGAGGGCAGAAGGAAAGGTTTGCACTGTACTTGTGTCTCTTTTGCTCCAAGTGTGACCACAGTTGTGGAACTATTTGGGCTTTCTACTGCATGCCCAGTGGAGGACCCATTTCCCAGGCCCACATCTTCGGACGTCATAGTGTAGATTTCCTAGCTTTTTTGTTCACCGTGTGACAGGTGGAGTTTTGTCTTGTGTCAACAGGTGAGGCAAGGACTTTCTGGGCTTGGTGGCTTTCTCCCTGTGACCATGGCGGCACAGCGCTGGAGTCGGCCTCCAGGCCATGGAAAAGCAGTGGTTCTGAAGTCAGTCTCTGGCAGTCATCTTCTGAACTTATAAATGGCTCCTCTGGATCTCTCAATGACTTCGTAAGTGTTTAGAAATATCTGGTAGTAAACCACCTGTCATAATAAGACAACTCTGCCCTTGCGACTTACCCCTACTGTGCTTCGGCTGTCGGCTAACCACAGCTGCCCTTAGGACGTCTGCCCTGCAGCCCGCCTTACCTTGATGGGCTCTCCGTGCGGAGACATGACCTCGTCAGACAGCTCCATCATCTTCAGGGCCATGAGGGCGATCTGGACGGCGTGGGTGTCGCTCTCCCTGTGCAGGCCTCCAGCCACGCAGTAAGCGTCTCCGATGGTCTCCACCTGGACACGAGGCATTTCGGGCATTATAAACAGAAGTGCAGGGAGAATCACTGTGTATATCCCAGCAGAAACCAACAATCACAGAAACCAACAATTGATGCCGGCCGGCCAGGGTGAGGCAGCTGCCCTCAGAGGCGACTTCCCTGTCAGGACAGTAGCAGCCTCACTGCCCAAGGACACACTCCTGTGAGCACAGAACCACGACCCTCCACCCCGAACCTGCCACTGACCCAGCAGGCCACTTAGCCCCTTTTAAAATTTTTACCATGCAACATAACTTTTGTAGAAACCAATGATATATGTTGCACTTAAATTAAGATATTAGAATCATTTTGTAACACTTTATTGCTCCCTCATTAAAATAGTGTTGTGCATGAATTTGGCCCTCAGTAAGTATAATATGAATTATCGTAATGTAAGGGTGAAGGTGGCAGGGCTTTTCTGCAGGACTTTCGATGTCTTGTAGCAATCATTAAGTATCCAGCTGGCATGAGTCACAAAGGACAGAACTCAAGGTGTCAAACTCAGAGACGAAAGCAATAAAAGCAGTAACACTGGACATGGGGCTGTTACACAAGTTCCGAGCACCACCACCACCATCCTCAATGTCTTGTCTCCCTGTGTACTCGCTGCAGGGAGCCACATGCAATCTAAGTCCATAAATAATTGCAATTCTAGTAGTTGCACTGTTCTTTTTGAAATGTTTATGGTAATTAAATATTACCAGCTCAAGTGGCTCTTAACCATATCCTCCATCAGAAGGGGGTTAAGGTGAGAGAGGAAAAATGAAATCGGGGACAAAACCTCAGTAACTCATTCCAGCAATCTCCTACTCACACATAATAAATTCGGAAGCCCTCCTGAAGAGCTCCAAAGCTGGCCTCAGCCTGTCCTTCTGTGAGCCTCTGACTTCACCTTCTCACTATGTGTCCTGGCCACATTTCTCCCAGTGTCACTGGCCTCCTGTCCTCAAAGACACCAAGCGTCCCCCAACTCGCAGTTCTCATAGACCAGACTGCAGACAACCCTTAGCTTTACCCGTCCTGTCCAGCTCCCTGACAAAACACCATCCTGTTTTGTCACAGGCCTATTTTAACCTCCTTCTGCACTTTCACACCCCTTAACCTGCTTTCTTTTCCTCCAAAATATAATAGCAGCTGACATACTACAAATTTGTTCATTTGGTTATGGACTGTATGGTCCCTCCCCCAAATATAAGCTCTCTGAGTTTGTGTACTATTTTCACTTTGGTATCATGAAAGCCCAGTATTGAGTGAGCAGGCAGCGAGCCGAGGGGAAGTCCTGCCACCCACTGTGACTGGAGTTGGGCGCCTGCCTCTCCACTCTGGGGCATTCTGCACCTGCGTGGGTCACGTAGGAATGTCACTTAGGAATCTGGCCCTTGAAAGCTCTGCCCTTCTCTCGCTCCCCTCTACACACGAGCCCTGATTTTAGGGCTCGAATCCTCCTGTTCCCTATCCAGGCCCATCCGTGCGGCCAAGTGCTGGATAAACTGTAGAAGCTCGCTGAAGCAATAGATAAAAGCATGCATATGTCAGCTGTGCAGTGATCAAAAGACAGAGGCAGAAAGAAAAGATTTGGTTCCCCTATAAATTCCCACTTACAGGAAGATGGAGACACCTAGAAATCAAACATGTAAGTGAAATAAATCAGACACAGAAGGTTAAATATTGCATGCTTTCTCTTGCGTGAGAAACATAAAGCATAAATAATTTAAGAAGCAAAATGAAAGATCCATGACAGGCAGCAGGGAGGTGGAGCTTTTGGAGGTGGAAGGAGGATGGGGGAGCAGAGGGCGGGGAGAGGAAGGGGAAGCAGGAAGACCTCGCTGTGACCTGTGTGAGTCCCGGCTCCCCACGAGGACCGAGCTCATGGCATACTGTGACCTGTACTAACAGACACGCTCACATACACAAATGAAGAAACACATGCACAGATGCACGGCTAGCTAAAGAGGCCTGGCACAAGCAGGTCCCTGGCTGACTAAGATGGGGTGTTCCCTGGAACCGCTGCCTCCAGGGTCAGGCTGGGCCATCCACCCGGGGTTCAGGCCCTTCCTTCCCTACTCCCCGCTCTGCCAGGTATTTTCATGTGGAACGAGAAGCAGACGGAAGGAAGGGACAAGGATGGGCGGAGGCGAGGTGCTGGATGGCTCTGGTGCTGGGAATGGAACGAGGGGTGGCCTCAGGAAGGAATGCAGTCGGCCACCCATGCTCGGGGGTCTGGAAACTGCACCCCATCCTCACAGTCAGCATCGCCCAAAGCACAAGAGGGCGTGGCTGCTGGCTGTAGTCACGGCTGCCTGTGATGAGGGAAGCTGTCACTCAGTTATGAACGAGGAGACAGTCTCAAGACAGACCACAACTGTCATAAATGCCGCAGATTCCCCAAGAGGCCACCACACTTCACCCAGCTGAAGCCAAATATCTTATGGGTAAGCACACATGGACTTTGCCCCTACACGTACAAACACTGACACAGCCTCAGGGGTGCGGGGCTCCATCTGCAATTCCCTGGGAGAAGCTCCACAAGGGAAGAATTTGCTCCTACTTTCTCAAACGAAACAGGGCAAGGACACAGGATTTATATGTTCCCATAAATAAATTCTTTTCCACCTCAATTATTTATTTCATGCTGAGTTAAGCCCTGGAATTCCAAAATATTAGGTAGCAAATTGAGCAGATGATTGTGGCCAGAAAAATCTGATAAATACTTTATTCTTTTTCTTT